GGAGGAGGAGGAGGAGGAGGAGGAGGAGGAAGAGGAGGAGGAGCAGGAGGAGGCGGATGGAGGACCGAGGACGGAGGATGAAGGATGGAGGACGGAGGACGGAGGACGTGGGGTCGCTACCGTGCGCCGCTGTGCCGCTGCCGTGCCTCCTGCCGTTGCGGCTGCTTCTCCTCCCTCCTCGCTGCCTCCTTCCCGCTCCTCTCCTCTCGCCTCTCCTTCTTGGCAGCCCTGTCGCTGCGTGTCGCCTCTTTTCTCGGGTCCTCAGTGGAAGACTTCGCGATGTTGTTTCTGACTAGTGCGCCGCCTTCCCACTGGGGTGGGTACTGTGGTGGCGATTACATTGTCTCTCCCGCTCAGTGCTGTGAATGTGAATGCACCCGCTGGCACTTGAGCGCGTGCTGTTTCTCACCACCCACCAGACCACCCCAACCTAACCCGAAGGCCTCAATGTGCCTTCCATTTCCTGTTGGGGGGGGAGCCAGGGAACATGAAAAACAAAACACACATGAAGCCCGTACCCCCCTGCCCAACCTGCAATTCGGGGCTTCGGCGTGGGTTGGGGTGGTCTGGTAGGCAGCAAGCTTCAAGCAGTTGGAACAGCTGGCACTTCTTATGGCATTCCTCTGGTAGCCTCTCCTCCCTCCTCCTCCGGTGGGGGCGCAGGCGCGGCGGCAGCAGCAGCGGCTCCCAGGCCGTCCTGGGGTGCCCTGTCGACGCCGAGCTGCCGCCGACCCACGGGGCCCTGTCGACGCCCTGGCGGCCAAAGCGCGCGCGCGCTCAGGCCCCTTGTGCCGGCGTGGCGCGGAGGGAGGTCCTGCCTGACGAGGCGGTCGACCGGGGACTCGTCCGAGACAGGGTGAGCCAGCACTCCGACGGATCAGCTGGAGGAGCGCTCCGCGCTGAAGGGCGACGCGAGGGGCCAGCGGGAGGCGACGCCCAGCGCCACCAGGAGGAGGGTGGGCCGCGGGCCAGCCTCCACGCAGCGAGGCTCTGTAGCAAAGGGTAGCTCTGTTGGCTTCAAGGCCGCCCGTGGTCTGAGTTGGCGGCGCGTCGACTCGGAGGCCCCGCTGCGTGGCGGGTCCTCTTAATGTCGGTAGGCTCGCTCGAGCAGCGTCTGGCCAGGCCGCCTGCATTGCATTTATCTCACCGTCCCTCCTCCCTTCTCCGTCCTCCCCCTCCTCCCCCTCCCCCTCCTCATCCTCATCGTCTTCCTCCTCCTCCTCCCCCTCCTCCTCCTCCTCCTCCTCCTCCTCCTCCTCCTCCTCCTCCTCCTCCTCCTCCTCCTCCTCCTCCTCCCTTATCGCACTCTTTTTTCCTCCCCCATTTCGGACGCAACTTCTGGGAGGTTTAATGCGGCATCCGCACTATGTTTATTATCCGTAGTCGAAACCGTGGCCTACTCCGACAGAGTCTTGGGTGATGCCGCGTGCTACCGGTTGATCTGGCCAAGTTAGGCTTCGTCCTGTGCTTAGTCCGGATTTGCCCAACCTAGTGGCCCCTTAATCGGGCTTTGTAGCTCTTGCTATCTCGCAGTAGTTCCTGCGAAGACTTCCCAAGAGTTGCCTCCTAACCTTATCCTCCCCCCCTTTCCTACGTCAGCCACGCGCAGAAGGGGGGGGGGGAAGGGGGAGGGGTGAAGGCTCCTCAGGAGCAAGCTGCTTCTTAGGAGGCGCGGGCTTTGGCTGTAAATGTGAGGCTGGCGCCTTCTAAGAATCAACCTCCTTCTAAGAAGCCTTTCCCCTTCCCCCTACACCCCTCCTCGAAATCTACCGCTAGTTTTCAATGTTGATCGTCGCGCGAAGCGCGGCCCGCGGGGTCGGAGTGTTGTGCCTGCGGTCGCCAGCTTCGGCGCGAACGCTGACATGTTTGGAGTCCTGGGGCGCCGCCGCGTCGCGGGAAAAACTTGCGTTTGATCTCGAGGAAGGATGTACAGTCGGCCCGGCTTCGTAGGTCGACCCTGCCAAATCGCCAAATCAAGGCTACCCTCTTGTCCTCTGTCTCGCGACCCATGCCTCCTACATTCCTGTGGCCACGTGGCCCTCGGGAGGGTCCCGTGTCCTCCCGCGTGTCCTCTCCAATCCAGTCCGACTGTGTCCCCCGGTGCCTGCCGCCAGCGCCCGCCCCTCCGCGGCCCCCGGCTCCGTGCCCGCGGACGACGTGGCCGCCCTCCTGCAGGAGGCCCAGGCGGGCGGCGGGCCGTGGCAGACTGCACCGTCGGCGGTGACGCCGTCGTGGACGGCGGCGGCGACGGCAGCGTCGATGGTCGCCGACGGCGGCGACCAGAAGTTTGCTCACGAGGAGGTCGCCTGCGCGTCTCCGAGGGTGTCCTCCTCCGGGGAAGGCTGCCCCATCGGACGCCTCCTGGGAGGCCTGTGCCCCCCCCTCCTCTTCCCTCCTCTTACCTCCTCCAGGGAGGGCTTCCCCATCGGACGCCTCCCGGGAGGCCTGTGCCCCCCCCTCCTCTCCCCTCCTCCCCCCCCCTCCGCCCGGGTCCTGGGGCTGTTCCGGCCGCTCGCCCTCGCTGCCGCAATATGCCGGATTTCGAGGTGCCGCCACTCACCCCTGCGTTCCTCCTTCTCCTCCCAAGCTCGTGGTATCGCTCGGACGTGGGCACTTCCTTCTCGGCGGGGATTACTGAGGAGCATCCTGGATCATCCTGCGAAACAACCACGCCTCACGCACGAAACCGAGCAAAAGTACAGGGAATGGACGCCCGAGCGACGGGGAGAGCTCGCCCGAAAAAGCACACATCTCCGGGGAGGTGCCACGGAGGCCTCCCCCTGGGCCCTCGGGCCCGCGGGAACTCCCGGGGAACCTGCACGGAGATCCCGTGCAGGCCTCCGGGCGGCTCCCCGCCTCCCCCGAGAGGGGTCGCGGCGACGGCGGCGGCGGCAGAGGAGGCCCAGGCTGGCCTCGGCGGCCACGTCGGCGGCGCAGGCGCCGGCCGCAACACCTCGATGGCGCGCACGGGGGGGGAAGTGGGAAGGGGTGGGCCTCCCCAGAAGGCTCGGAAGCCCCCCCCCCCCCGGGCCTTCGGAGGCGTCTGTTGAGCCTTCCCCGAAGACGCGGGGACCTCATCGGAAGGCACGGAGCTTCCTGAGAAGCGCCGCCGCCTTCTGAGAGGGCCCTCTCCTTCTCACTTCCCCCGCAGCTCGCCGCCGGACATCGGCGAGGGCGGCGGCGTCAGGGCCAGGGCCCAGGAGGAGGAGCAGGGCCCTCGCGGTCCGACTCCGCGAGTGTGCGTGTCCCACGACGTCCGTCGTTGCGAGAAAAAGGGCGTGGTGAGAAAAGCAATTGGGACCAGCGCGACCCCGATAAGGAGCGTTCTGTCCATAAGAGAAGCCGATGCAGCTCTGAGCAATGCGAGCCATCGAACAAATTGCATGCTTGGAATTGCTTGGCATTGCTCGGCGTTGCTTGGCCTTTGCTTGGCTTTGCTTGGTATTGCTTGGCGTTGATTGCATTGGCTGGCATTCATTGGCATTGTTCGGCATTCCTTGGGATCGCTTGGCGTTGCAAGGAATTGTGTGGCGTTGCTTGACATTGCTTGGCGGTGCTTGACGTTGTCATTCCTTGTCGTTGCTTGACACTTCTTTGCTTGGCTTGGCATTCACTAGCTTTGGGTTGCTTGGCACTGCGTGGCATCATTATGCGTTGCGTTGCGTTTCTCGGCGTTGCTTGACATTGCCTGGCCTTTTCTGGCGTTGCTTGAGTTTGCTTGGCGTGGCGTGACATTGCTTTGCATTGCTTTGCGTTGCTTGGCGTTGCTTGGCGTTGCTTGGCGTTGCCTGGCGTTGCTTGGCATTGCTTGGCGTTGCTTGGCATTGCTTGGTGCTGCTTGCCATTGGCATGTCTTGGCATTGCTCGGCATTGCGTGGCGTTGCCTGGCATTGCGTATCGTTGCAGTGCCAGGCATTACGTGGCATTGCTCGGCATTGTTTGTTGTTGCTTGGCATTGCTTGGGTTCGCTTGGCATGCAATGGCTTTGGGTTGCTTGGAATTGCCTTGCATCGTTGCTTTGCATTTCTTGGCATTGCTGGGCATTGGTTTGCATTGTGTTCCACTGCTTGACGCTGCTTGACGCTGCTTGGTGATGCTTGGCGTTGCTTGGCATCGTTTGGTTGGCACTGTTTGGCACAACTGCTTGGCATTGCTCGGCGAGTAGCGCTCGGGAGCTCCGGGCAGCGCGGGTGGTGGACGACCCCCGAGGATGCCCGGGCAACCAGGGCTCTTTCCGATTCCTCCGATTCGATTCGATTCGATTTCGGTGGCTTCCGATTCCGATTCGATTCGATTTCGAATTCCGATTTGGATTCCGATCCTTGAATGGAGGCATACGAGCCTGCCAATGTCCGCCGATCCGACATCTCCCGACTCGGCTGCCGAATTCTGCCGATCTGATTCATTTCCATCGCCAATCCAACTCATGGATTCGACTCTGGGCTCTCCTGCGATGCGGCGGACAACGCCGAAGGCCGCCACTGACGAAGGGCCTGGCACCCAGAAATTTTGGTGCACAAGCAAGCGAGAGAGATTTTTGGGCAAAGCCTAGCTGGGGAAGCGGCTCTCTGAGCTTTTTTGACCCGTCTCTCCTCTGCGAGCGGACCGCTCCGTGAAGGTTCCCAGGGGCCCCAGAATTAGGGTGAAGTCGGGCCTGTCCCTCTACAGGAGGAAAAGTGAATGATAGTCAAAAAATAGTCTGGGGCCGATGTTTTACCATTGTTTGCTATTTTTGTTTGGAAGCTTTGTTTGACTATGTTTCACTCTTCGCCCAAAATCGGCCTCTAGGGGGACAGGTCCGGCTTGAGATTAGGGGCGGCCGTGCTCGTTCTTGTTATCTCGGGGGCGGAAAAGAGGGGGGTGATGACTAGGGGGGGGTGGATATCATGGCGTGGGCCATGATATTTCCCCAGATCTCATGGCGCCTCTTCTTATTTCATTACGTCCCTGGCCCCCCCGCTGGGCCGCGCACGTGCCGCCGGTCATGATTTGCACCCCGCCCTCCTGGACACCCCCCTCGTGGCCGCTCCCGATTACCTCCCGCTGCGCGCAGAGGTCCGGGGGGACCAATCTGCGGCCGCGAGCCGCGAGAACGCACCGAGGCTCCCGCGCATGCTCGCGCGCTGGCCTCCGCGGCGCGATCATCCCGTGGGGCTGCGCGGATGCGCAGGGCGCTGCGCGCCGCACGGGGGGCACCCGCGCAAGAGCGCCCCGCCAGCCGCCTGGAACATGTCCCTAGCCCTATGCTGGGTATCTCCTCGTCACGATGCCAGTCTCAGGGGCTCCCTCCTTTTTTGAGGGCGCAGCCCCAAGATTGTCCTCGCTCTTTGGCGCGTCGATCTGAGGGATAGGGATCAGTTCGAGGCTGGAAAGTCCCGCCCGCCACCCGCGCGGCCGCGGCCCGGGGCGTCGGAAGACCCAGCCGCATCGCCGATGCACCGGCGACGCGGCTCGATTCCCAGCCGATGTCCTCCACGCCGGCGGCGCCGATGCGCCGCCGACGTCGCAGCCGCGTCGCCAGCGCATCGGCGATGCGTCGCCGAGGCGTCTGGGATGCGGCGCGATCCTCCTGGCCCACGGGCTCCGACCCCATCCGGGAGACCTCTATAGGGGCCCAGCCCGCAGGTCCGTCCGTGGATGCGGATCTGCCCTCCGGCCACGATGCAGGGCTCGTTCCGATTCCTCCGATTCGATTCGATTCGACTTCGATGGCGTCCGATTCTGATTCGATTCGATTTGGGATGCCGATTTGGGCTCCGCTTTCTCACAGGAGGCATACTTGCCTGCCGATGTCTACCGATCCGACTCTTCCCGGCTCGGCTGCCGATTTCCGCCGATCCGATTCGTTTCGATCGCCGACTCGACTTATCGATTCGATTCTGGGCTCTCCTGCGATGCGACGGGGGATGGGGCTGGCCTTAAGTCGGGCATGCCCCTCTACAGGGAGAACAGTCAATTACTCCGACGGTAGGACCCCACATGATAATCTATTTAGCTTGTCCCTCGCCCTCTTCTTCTTCGACCGGCTGAGGCCTTCCTTCCGCCCTCTGCGTCATCCTCCTCCGCCTCCTCATACTTCTCCTCCTCCTGTTCATTCTCGTCCTACTCGTTTCATTTCTTATCCTCTTGCTCTTCCGCCTCCTCCTTCTCCTCCTCTTCCTCCTCCTCCCATTATTCCTCCTCTTTGTCCTTTTCTTCCTCCTCCTTCACCTCCCCTCCTTCTCCCCCTCCTCATCTCCGCCCCGCCTGTTTTCCTCGTGCACCTCTCCTTCCTCCTGGCAGGAGCGCGCGCGTCGGTTTTCCTTGGCGCCGTCGCCGCCTCGGCCAGCACGGGCGCATTCTCTAATGGCCGCATCGCGCAGCCGTTGGGACATCCCCGCCTGAGACTCCCCCAGATTCAGGCCTCAGGAGCCCAAAAGTGATCACAGTTACAGGGCTCCGATGACCTATGCGGAGGAATGACATGAGCTGCGGGCTCCATAAGGAGGGGGCTCAGGAAGGGGGCTCCCGCCTGAGACTTCCTCGCAATTCACTCACAGACAAGGCTTCGGCCAGAGACTTTCGCCATATTCAAGCTTGAAGAGCCCACAAGTGACGACAAGTACAGGATCCTGATGGCCCGCTCGGATGAATAACGTGAGCTGTGGGCCCTATGGGGACGGGGCTCCCGCTTGAGACTATCCTCGCAGCCCACTCACAGACAATGCTCCTGCATCAGACGTCCGCCATACGCAAGCTTGATGAGGCCAAAAGTGACGACAGATACAAGATTCCGGTGACCTGCTCGGCTTACTAACGTGAGCTGCGGGCCCCATGGGGAGGGGGGGGGGACCCGCCTGAGATTTCCTGACAATTCCCTCGCAGGCAAGGTTCCCGCCTGAGACTTCCGCTGTACCCGAACTTGAGGAGTCCCAAAGCGACGACAATTACAGGATGCTGATGGCCCGTTCGGATTCGGAACACGAGCTGCGGGCCCCATGGGGAGGGGCTGCCGCCTGAGACTTCCTCGCAATCCACTCGCAGGCGAGGCTCCCGCATCAGACTTCCGTCATACTCGAGCTTGAAGAGCCCACCAGTGACGACAAGTACAGGATTCCGATGGCCCGCTCGGATGAATAACGTGAGTTGCGGGCCCCATAGGGGCGGGGCTCCCGCTTGAGACTTCCTCGCGACCCACTCGCGGA